TGAAGATGTCTTTTTATTCAACAACAACCTGTGGCCCAAGTTGTGACTACTTATTGCATTTCACACATGACCATAGTTAAAAAAAAAAGTACAAAGAAAGAAAGAGAGAGAGAGAGAGAAAGGAAGAAAGAGAGAGATAGGCTGAGATCAGCTTTTCCTCTCTGCTTAGCATGATGAATCAGTTGAGGAGGGGCCACTTGACACCTGTCACCTAACCAGCCAGGCACAATTACGTCCAGGGGGAGGACGGGGGACTTGCTGGGGAGTTGTGCATAGCTCCCAGTGAAATAGACGAGCGTTTGAAGATCATTAGTGTTACAGGCCCTGTCTTCGTGGCCCTGTCCAACCTCCTGAATGGCTGGCTTTGATCACCGAGCTGCGTTTTTGTCAATAGTATGGGTACACCGCATAAATTATAAAGTTATACACACAAAGTCAGCAGGTAAAACGCCACACTCAATTTCTGTTTCGGACACGGATGGGGCAGCTGATTGCTGGTAATGAGCGTCATCGCTCTGCAGCCAATAACAGGCAGTGGCCAAGCTCTTATGTTGCTATCATGTTCAGCCCAATGGCATCGCTGATTGCCATTCATGTGCTTAAAAACCCAGTGACACTGAACAGACAATATATTTGAGTATCATCTCTGATGTTATCGTTGTTTTATACGCAATCTTTGGCCTTTTTTTGGTTGATTTGACATTTACAGTTTGAGGCAGGTACCAAGGTTATGTGTTTGTATCTTGAACAAAATGTAATTCACAGTAAATTAAAAGTCATGCTTCAAATTTATTCTTATATAGCAAATCCAACCTCTGTTAAGAGGTGAAGCAGTTAAAAAAAAACATCTAAATATAATAAAATATACTGGTTTAAAATCAGTCTAGAAATAGAAATTCGAGAGAACCTTTGTCTTAGTAGGGAAAATTCTCTACCTATAAGTTGAAGATTAACTGTGCAAAGGGTTTCAGAGATCACAAAATTCACATATGTCACACATACTGTAAAGACAACGTGCCCCGCTCAGTATTGTGTTTGTCAGTGCACTGTAGCGCTTTCAGAGAAGAAAAATGATCATTATAGCTGATGAGGCGAGGGCTCCGAATGATGACAGTGTGACAGCAGCGAGCTTTTTAATTTGTCGGATCAGATTGTGACATGCTCCATCACAGGACGGAGGAAATCTTTTCATTTGTGCAGCAGAGAGAGGGGGAAAGGAGGTCAATTAGCATCAACCATTAGACAACCCCGTGACAAGCAATATATTACTGCGTGGGACAGTCAAACTAATGAGAGAAGCAGAAGAAGTGTTCATTCAGGTTGGACAGAATTCTGCAATCATCCAGCTTACATTAATCACTTGTATAGCATATGACACGTGCATTCTTTAAAGTCATGTCTGTAGCTCCTCCTGTCGTATGCACAGCGTTCCTCACCGTACCGTTTGTTGTCACGTGAGGTCAGGTTTGCTCAAAGGTACGTCTTTCATGTCAAACGTTTCCTACAGAACCATGTGCATCAGTGGTTTATCATCTGCATATACTTTTCACTAACTCGTGCTTTAATTAGAATGGGTTTATCATTTTTATCTTTCCATTCAGGACAAGTTTGAGGAATGAATCACGTAACCTATGTGTGCAACAATTTTCGAATATTCGAATAGTCATTAAATCCTGAATATTCGAATAGTTCATTATATCTAGAAAAAAAAAAAAAAAGTTGTTTTACTGGTGCCTCCCTCACAGGGGCAGTATTTGCGTGATACACAGAGTGGCGGGCTTGATGCCACCGTAGAAGAAGAAATAAACCGAAGCGAAAACACAATGGAGAGATTACTGCAGGAGCCGACCAAAAGTTCTGTGTGGAGCTATTTCAGCAAAACAAGTGAAGCAGAGGTACATTGTAAACTCTGCGAGGCTAAGCTTGCATATCACAAGTCTACGACAACCATGCACAGCCATATGAAAGTAGCCGACGTGCGTTACACTTTGCCAAATGGTTTTGTAAACTTTTGTTATGCCTGGACAGTGAAAACTACGTAGCTGAAACATACTGAGTTTGAATATGTCAGGATGATTCCCACTGTCCTGTGGAAGAGGATCGCTTTGTCCTATGAGGAGGCGGAGCAGTTGATAATTCTGTCCTGTGTGCGTAATGAGGTTAAACAGTGTAGCAGTTCTATAATGTTGTACTGTGAATTGCATCACTGTCAAAATAAAAAGACGGTTGATAATCGCGGATCTCTTTGTCTTTCCCGCTGGTGGGGGTGGGGTTGAATACTCGATTAATAATCGGTTATTCCCCTGCGATTATTGGATAGTACTTTTGCTTGAAATGCACATCCCTACTACATAGTTTTTGAGACCAAAGAGGCTTCCACCAATAAGATCTTAGCCAACAGCAGCATGAAAGAGAGGATCTCATTTTATCAGAAGAGAAAATCTCAAACTGAGTCTTTCCTCTTTTTTTTTTTTTTATCAGGCAGCCTTTATTTGACTGGCTGTCAGGTATAACGTGCCGCTCTCGATATTGATCTGAAGTACCTAAAGGTATGTGACATCATTATGAGGCTTGACCTTATCATCATCTGCTGCCCTGCAGCCAATAGGCAGGACTGGGCCAGAATCTAAAGCCTCCCCCCAAAGGTGGGTACCTTGTGCATTGTAGGGAAATTGGTGGAGGTGTTATTTGTTTTCCTGACCTCATGGCACACCTCACTCTCGGGGTCTCTCATCAGTCATGGCCTGAGGTTGGTCTGACTGCTGTACTAGGTTAGCTGGCTGCTCTAGTTAGCCGGGACAAACCAGGACAATCAACAATGTTACATTAAAGCTGATTTTACATCATTGTACAAGGGGTTCAATGACAGTATTTTATAACTGATTATTTTTTCCAATAAATGTTTGCAAAAAAATTAACATTTTGTTAAAGTTGGGAAGATGGTTATGCAAAAATATGTGCTACTGTAAGGAAACTAAACCCAGGGTTGGAACTTAACTAACTTTGTTCCATTAACATGAAAAAAATGGCTTTAATGTGTGTTTTGGTGAAAGAAGCAAATTGTAGAGGTGCTTAATTTTCTTTCAGCTGACTGTTTTGGCTCCCTCAGAAAGTCTCTAAAGCTGCTAAATCAAACCCAGCTGCTTAAAATAGAAAGTCTCTGATGAATCTGATGCAGAAAGCTAGGACAGAGGGGTCACTGGTCGGACAGTGTTGCACTTACCCACGGAGTGGCTTAGACTCTGCCTTTGGAGTTGGTGGAGACCAAACCAGAGCTACAAAGGGATGAAATTATTCAGTGTGTGGACACTGCAAACTGTTTAAATGGCTTATGTGTGGGGCGCTGGTGTTGAACAGTTATTAGAGCTGACATCTGATGTACAGAGGCTACAGTGCTCATTGCACAGGTTGTAGGATTGATTTCTGGTCCCAGCCAGATCTGGTGCTCTTCATTCCCACCCCTCTCTCTTCACATATCCTGTCTCACATGCTATCCTATCTAAAAAAAAAAAGAAGGTAAAGAGCCCTCCAAGAGTTATTGTCAACATCAACATTATAGTATCACTACACTCCTAAAATGTGATTGTAATTTCTGTCTTCTGGATTTTTCTAGACTAATAGGTTGAGGAAATTTCACACAGCTCTAACATTGAACTTCTGTTGGATTTTCAAAATTACTACATTATTTGATTTTTATAAAATCCTTTGGATAAAATTATGACAGTACATATTTGCTCTAAAAAGAGACTCTGCCAACATGTCATCTTGCCAGATCACAACATGCCAAAACATTTTGTGTATGAACATATGAACTGTTTGGTGAAAATGTGTACTGTCTCAAATACAGAGCAGATTTAGATCAATCCATATGAATAAACAGGAATATACTGAAAATGCTGATGCTATTGTTCAGCCACGAGGTGAGGAGAAAAATGTTTCTCAGTTGGTACACCAGTTGAGTAGCATTTCAAGAGCAGTTTTTGAAACCTCTTTCATTATCTCAAGTTGTGATACACTTGTCCCCTGCGAAAGCTCCAGTACAGTGTGTGACATTTAGTAAATCCTGAAGGCTTCCAGCTTTTTGTTGTATGCATTTAAACAACACATTAAAGCCAGAATGTTCCTCCTGGAACCTGTCACATTTCCCAGGTAAAGCAGATGAATAAATAAAGCACCACTGTTACTGGCTGAACCCCCCCCCCCCCTTTATTTTTTTCTTTGTGTGATTTGCTGTTGCCTTGAGATAGATCCTGATCTCTTTGTAGACCCTCTCCCAACAAGCATTGACCTTCTGCTCTGACATGTAAAGAGCTCCACGAGATCAGAAAGGGGAGGGGGAAGCTGTGAATAAAGGCATCAGCACTGCGAGCAGCTAAGAGACTTCATCCACTTCACTTCCACACTCCTCTCCCTCTCCCGTCTGCCTCTCAACGCTGCTTTCTCTCTCTGTGTTCAGTGGAGGAGCGAGGATACCTTGTTGGCGGCACAAAGGAGCGGTTCTGTAATAAAAACAGCTGTCTCTGGTGGTCTCAGTGTAATTGGGATTGTTAACGTGGAGAGCTCCTGAGGGAGACTGAGAGGAGTATGTCTTTGTGTAAAGCACACAGGCACCTCTGCAGCACGCCTTGATTCGGATGGAAGTAAGAGAGTGAGGAGGAAAAAAGCAAACAAGTCACCTGAGTTATATCAAGCCCTGCTGCATGTGCGCTCTCTATTTTACCTGGGCTTTACTTTTGTTTTTAGGCTGTGCCGATTTATTTATATGTAGTGCAGCTCCTTGAAGCGAGGCGAGCCTTCTTTCTTTTTTACTATTCTACTGAGGGTTTGTGTTTTTGAAGGTAAGGTATGAACACACCTTCCAGCATTGAGACAAGCCTTTGTGTGATAGCAACATTCCCTCAAATTACTGTATTTGAGGTAATACTGTAATTACTGTATGTAGCGTGGTGACGCAAATCACGGCCGCAAATGTGTAAAACAGCGGGGAAATGTAGCAAATAGGGGGAAAATGGTTTTAAAAAATGGTTCAATAAAAATTAGTATAATTTCAGAGAAAGTAGACTTCTCATTTGAAGGCCCTTATATTTTACATTATTTGTCGGGACAACACTGATTGCTATTTTTATCGACCAAAATGGTTCTTTCATTATTATTAATCTTACAGTTTTTAATTTGAATTATCACAACACATCTATGTAAATATAAGCGTCGCAAAAATAAGACTACACCGTGTTTAATTTTTAAGAGTTTCTGTAAAAGCTCCAAAAGTACATGATCCTCACTGAAACATACAGGATTGCCACTTGATCCTGATCCTATTTGCACCGTCAGACCCTTCAAAGGTGATTCAGCTAATCACTCTGACTTACTGTCCTCCCCCCAAACTTGGAGTGAGCTGTTGGCATGAGAAGTGAAAGCCTCAGGTACATGAACACACACACAGGAAAAGTGCTGAAAATGTACTTCAAAGTCAATTGCTTTGGAGCGGCTCCAGCTGATTTATTTGACTTAAGATATACTTTTTTTGTGTGTGTTTCATTGTGGATGAAAATTTCATACACCAATTTAGAGGTGGTGAAATATAAATGATATCTTTAAAGTTTCATCATAAATCAGTCTGTCGGTATATGTGAGCAGACACTGATTACTCCTTGATGTCTCCTGAGCCTGATCTCCTGTCTCCTGGTGTCTGCAGGAGGTGGCTGTAGCAGCGCCTGTTTTTTTTCCCCGCTGGGGAGGAAACATTTCTCTGCAGCTGCGTGGCTCTAATGCAACGTAAAAAAAAATGCCAGGCTGCAACACCAACAGGCGAGGGGACATAAATACTGTCAGGAAGAAACAAAAATATGGAAAAACAGCGTTGGAAAGCGGGACGTGACACCTTGACGCTGCGTGCGTATTGAAGCGCATGAGCCTCCACGTTAAGGCTGCAGCTTCGGAGGACTTGATTTAGAGGCATTGAGACTTTTATTGCAGTGGCGCACACACACTGGCTGTGGCCATACATAGAGAGCAGTATGTGAAGCCCCTAATTAGGACAAGATCACATAATAATCTCCAGTGAAACCTGCAGTTTAACCCCGAACATTAGCGTTGTGTGTTATTAACACATTAAAGGTGATTAAGGGGTCAGCGTAGCGCCGTATAACTGCTGCGAGATGCCCCCTTTTTCGTGCGTGTGTGTGTGTGTGAAGTGATTTAAACTATTACACACATAGAAAAAAAAAAAGTAAAAGTGTTATTGTTTTCCATAGGCTAACCTCCATGAGACTTGCATAATTACAATGATCCCACCCTACAGACGTGTCCGTATTAACTGATCAAATCAGACAACTCTTCTTCATTACAAGAAGATTAAAGCTTTTCATCACGTTAAGGATGGCGTGGCATAATTGGAAAAAAAGATAAGATAAAAGCCTGTTTGACAAGTTATTACAATTATCTCATTTTTAAATATCTCTTGTTACATAACTGTATCGGCCCTTTTAAGTGAAAACCAACACATAGAGAAAAAAAGCAAAATTATGCAAAACAGGTTGGAATTTCCTCTTAAGACTTTAATCTTTTGTTGTTGGTATTTTTGCAAGTTTTTGTCTTTTTTTGTGGGGCAAGTGGTAAAAATGTTATTTTTTTACATTGCATTTTTATAAAGATAAAACATTGAGAACATTTGCTGCTCGTATTGTGATGTGATTTTATTTTTTAAATCTAAAATGAAAAGCTTAATATATATATTTTTTACCGTTAAACTTTGTTGTATTTTTACACAGAGAGTGGAGCTGTCCGTGGTATTATAGAAAGACTTTCTCTTTTTTATTTTGTAATCAGATCAAACTTGTTTACAGTGTGATATTTTTCACGCGCAATTTAACAGAAATCCAAAATAATAAGTCGCTGAGCACAGTTAGGCACACTGGTTGTAAAGGAGGTGTTGGAGGTAAGAAGCAGAGTGATTTGAAATAAATGCCTTGTCGCACACTGCCCATGCGCAGAGTCCCCAGCGGCGGCGGTGAGGGTGGTGGTGGTGGTGGTGGTGGGGCTAATGAAGAATAATAAATCATGAAAGGGTTTTTCAGGTACAGCTGGAAACAGAGTGTGTATGTGATAGGGTGAGAGACGGAGAGAGGAAGCTGTTGAAAGAGAGAGAGAGAGAGAGAGAGAAAGAGGGTGGAAGTGTGTGTGTGTGAGGGGGGGAGAGAGAGTGAGTGAGTGAGAGAGAGAGCGAGAGAGAGAGAGAGAGAGAGGCGGAGAGAGACTCAGTCTGCCCTTCGCCTCAGAGCAGAGGCAGTTCGGGTCCCCGCAGCATTCAAGGTAGTCGAAGAGGTACAGTAGAGACTGTCACCGCCATCACTGCACATACTGGTGCTTTTTTTCAACAGGGAAACTTTTTCTGTAGAACCAAACTGGTCATCGAGAGCGGCAACAGTTTGTAAACTTGAAGTCTTTTGGAAATCCTAAGAGACGAGAAGAAACTTTTTTTCTTTCTCTGGCGTCGTTTCTCTCTTTTTTTATTTTGAGGAGTTTTGCAAAGAAAAAAATCCAAGGCAGAAAAAATATTGATAAAAACGAAGTGAAGAAGGAGGGGAAAAAAATCAAAAAGCAAAAAAAAAAAAAAAGAAAGAAAGGTTCCGTTTTCGCGCCACAAGTCCAACGAGGAAAGAAAGGTACCTGCTGCGTTCAGTTGCATGGCTGCTCTCATTTGGCAGAAAAGCGCGGATAGTTATAATAAATACATGTGGTAACTCTTCAGTTTTGGACCGTCTTCAGCCTTGCACTTTTACTCGGCAGTGACTTGAGATTCCTGCGAAGCAATCGGGCTTCAACTCCGCACCGAGGAGGCGGAGTCTTAACTTATTAAAAGGAACTTGCCGAGGCTCGGACGCCCGCAAATATGATGATGATGTCTCTGAACAGCAAGCAGCATTTCGCCATGGCCCACACCAGCTTGGCAGAACCCAAGTACTCGTTGCACTCCTCCTCGTCCTCCACCTTGACTTCCAATGCGCCCTCGTCCTCGTGCTCGTCCTCCCGACACAGCAGCACCATCATCAGCAGCAGCGGCAGCAGCAGCAGCTCGGAGGCGATGCGCAGAGCCTGTCTCCCAACCCCACCGGTACGTATTCTGCATAATCACTGCTTAAAGGCACATTTTGACAGCCCACTTTTTTTTGCTTGATGTTTTTTTCATGTCTGCACAGCAAATCACCCAACACCTCCATATTTTTTTCCTCCTCTGCTCAACTTATGTATTCAGCCGGCTTTGCCTCTCGTATTAATTTTTATGACCTGGGATGTTGCATGTGTCTTGTTTTGTGTGCTCCCCTTTTTTAGGATTTCTTTTTTTCACATTCTGGAAATGTTTTAAACCGAGGAGTGGAGGGAGAATTCCCTGCTGACAGTTATGTGTGCATTCTATTTGCAATTGCAGAGCAATATATTCGGAGGCTTGGATGAGAGTTTGTTGGCCCGGGCTGAAGCTCTCGCGGCGGTGGATATAGTCTCGCAGACCAAGAGCCACCACCACCCTCCACATCACAGCCCCTTCAAGCCGGACGCCACCTACCACACCATGAACACTCTGCCCTGCACCTCGTCTTCCTCCTCCTCCTCGGTGCCTATTTCTCATCCGTCCGCCCTGGCTGGCCACCACCATCACCACCACCATCACCACCACCACCAGCCCCACCAGGCGCTGGAGGGGGACCTGCTGGACCACATCACGCCGGGACTGGCGCTGGGAGCCATGGCGGGACCGGATGGCTCGGTGGTTTCCACGCCTGCGCACCCTGCCCACATGGCGGGCATGAACCACATGCACCAGGCGGCTATCAACATGGCTCATGCCCACGGGCTACCACCGCACATGGGCATGAGCGACGTGGACGCCGATCCCAGGGACTTGGAAGCGTTCGCGGAGCGGTTTAAGCAGAGACGGATCAAACTCGGGGTTACCCAGGCGGATGTAGGGTCAGCTTTAGCCAGCCTGAAGATTCCTGGGGTGGGCTCCCTCAGCCAGAGCACCATCTGCCGATTCGAGTCCCTCACGCTCTCTCACAACAACATGATCGCTTTGAAGCCCATCCTGCAAGCGTGGCTGGAGGAAGCGGAGAAATCACACAGGGAGAAACTTAACAAACCCGAGTTGTTCAATGGCGCGGAGAAGAAGCGGAAGCGCACGTCGATAGCCGCGCCGGAGAAGAGATCACTGGAGGCCTATTTCGCCATCCAGCCGCGTCCCTCCTCGGAGAAAATCGCAGCGATCGCAGAGAAGCTGGACCTGAAAAAGAACGTGGTGCGGGTCTGGTTTTGCAACCAGCGACAGAAACAGAAACGGATGAAATACTCTGCATGCGTCTAAGAATCGCTTTAAACCCCAAACCGAACCCAAATGACTCTACAAAAAGACTTGGGAACTGTTTAGAGACGATTTGTATCATATTTCCTATCTCACACCTTTTTTCAATCATCGATGACTTTGTGCTTTGAACTTCGAAAAATTCCTAAAAATTGAACTAATGACTGACGAAAAAAATAAGCCCACAGTCACGTCTTTTTCTCGCTGAGAGGGGAGACGTGGAGGAAAGTTGAAGCATCGTTTGAAGAGCAAGTAAGAACACTGTTTCCACACTTCCTATGCTTCATCTTTTTAATGACTTACAGGACTCTTGTGCTTTAATTTTTACTTCAGATTCATTTCCAATGAGGACTACTTTAGTTCGCGTACATAGGCAAATGCACCCCCCGATTAAAACAGTGGTTTCCACTCAGAGCAGCGGGGCTATAGTTGAACTCAAAGCACTTGGTTTTGGTGACTCTCGGTGTTGATATTTTTAAGCTTATAGGATAAGCTACAATTTTTTCCCTCCGAGTTGGTGACGATGCAGTCTGAGACATTTATTCAGGGTCCACGAGGGGGTTTAAAGGGACAACACACAAGCTAATATTAGATTACTGCCAAATAGCCCCGTGTAAATGAATTATTCACTTGTCACACACTTCATTTTGTGTCTAAATGTGTAATTAATTCCACTTATTTTGTTACCGTGTGTAAACAGAAAGTCAGGGATCTATTTTGAAGATACCCGAGTTTGGGCTGAAGAGTAGGGTTTCTTTGTTTTCCTTATTATTATTATTATAACAATGATTATAATTATTATTATTATTATTGATAGGCCTCAGTACGTGGAGATTGAGAAATAGTGCGTCACTTGTAAGGATTTCACAGATTTTCGCGATTGAAAAATATGATTTCTCGCCGGCTGCAATAAGTTGACACTCCTGTGTGGGGCCGGTATCTTATGAACTATTTATTGAGTGAGGTCATGTTTACTTCATTATATATTTATTGGGATTCCCCCTCCCTCCTCGTTTTGCCTGAGAAAATCAAATTCTGACAGCAAGTAAAGCGTGTTGTTCTGCTTTTAAAGGGAAAACGACTGTGTGACATTTTCAGTCACAAATCTTCATTTCTAACATTTGAGATGGTACAATCGAGATATATATGAGATAGTATTCTCTTTTTTTAAAATTATTTCATGTATGTTTTTTGCTATTTATTTGTATAAATATACGCGCATCATTATGAAGTCTTTGCTTGTTAAGAAATCACCTTGTTTAAGTAAAATGTTTTTTTTTCTTGAAGAGAAAAAGAAAAACAGCTTCATGGAAGTATACGTGTACAATGTAAATATTTCATTGGAACCAGTCGATGCACATAAATATATCCGTACAGGTTTTTGCTGTATTGATGTTTTAGCTGAGGTAACTTATTTCTGTAATGTATGTTGCTTTTTTTGGTTCCCTGGTTAAATTATTCTATTAATTTATGACATCCATGTGATTTTAATTTATTTAATTATTGAACTGCAATATGTGTTTCATTAAAGAACAAACTTTAACATTTAATTGGACGTTTTCTCCATTACTACGATGTGTAATGTGCCTCATCCGGACTTATTAATATTCTTTTATTTATTCAGCTGTTTATTTATTGATGAGGAGGATGGGAACGCTTTAGCTGTGGGCTGCACAGCTTTTAACAGATGTGTTGTGGAGATTTAAAGCGTATTTGGGCACCAGGTCTGCAGATATTTTTGAACAAGACATGAACTTTTGGCCACGTTGATATAGGGGTTTTTGTCTTGGGACTATATAAGCAAGACACCAAACCTAATTTCACCTGATTTGTATCCCCTCTTGCAAAGGTGGATATAACGAAAATGATCTAATGCTATCAGAATATATTCTTGCATTGCACCTTCTTCCTTCAGGCCTCCAGATAAAACAGGCCACACAGGAGAAATCCCTTCTGCTTCTCCTTTTTCTTATTCCGTCAATGTTAAAGACACACGTGGCTCCTCCACCGCATTTCTGCCAGCTTATGCAGCTCACTGTTGCCTTACCTGAGAGCAAATGCTAATATTCTATTAGAGTCTAATCAGGGGGTCTATGGAGAGCTGGATGGGTCCCTGGAGCGCAGACTTGCCAGATGTCAGCCCGCCAGAAAAACAGCTCGCCTGCCAACGTGCCCGTCTCTATTTAAATACACACTCTAACGTGCTGAGTGCGTGCGTGAGCGCGTGCGTGCACACATGCTCAGGCTTTGATGCACAACCTTTGGTAAGAAGTTAGATATGAGGAGGAGTATTTTGAGTGTCATGTCCAGAGCAGAGTTGTTGTTTTGAGGGCTTCAGGGCTGACTGGCTGGCTGACTGGCTGACTGGCTGAACGCTGAGTTAGCGTTTCAGCACCATGGACAGATACCTGAGAGGCTGCACGAGCTCAGCATTAGCATTTCTGAAAGCTGTCCTCCACCTTAACACTGATTATTTACAGCAGCTGGAATATATTTGCATGGGATTATTTTATGATATTTGAAAATAGGATTTAAAAAAAAAAACTCAAATTATAGGACTTGGTTCAAGGTTCAAGGCCTTTAAAATTGAGCATGAAGACTTAAATTGTTTTTATAACTGTGAGAAATCTTTGCAAAACCGCATCCTGTCCTCTTAATATCTGTTTAAAAATTATTATACAGGCTTTTTAATCCAAAGTCAAAATATTTTCCTATTATTTAACCACCAAAATCAAGAGAAAAAAGTTGTAATTAAACATCCTTCATGACACTGATCCATAAAGCAAACAGCGCCATCCTCCTCCTCGTGACAAATTAAGAGTATCAAAACGAGCGTTATTAATGAGACAGCCATGATGGTTCATCAATTAAAAGATGCTCCTGGTGAGTGCTTCTAATTTCCCCTAAATGAGCCATTCACTTAATACGTTAATAAGAGCGAATTATTAAATTACACATCGAATTATGAAAAGCAGATAATTATGAAGAGCGAGTTAAGCAGTCATTAGCCATCCCTGTTAATTACCTACCGCTGGTCAGGGAGGGCTGCGCGTGAGGGTCTCATCGGGAATTGAAATTAACTTTATGCAAGCGCGAGCTCTGCACACACACAGACAAGCAGAAAGACAGACAGACAGGCCATCTACAGGAGTGCTGCTGCTTTATTTCACATATTTGGCTAAAATCGATCTGAATACTTTGATAGCGAATCAATAGGCCCAACAACACACACAGAAACACACACACTGAGCAAAAAGGCCTCAGCAGCAGCAGCACAATAAAGAAAAAAGAAACAAAAATCGAAGGTCCTTTTTTTTCTCTATAATAAAATATGTGAATCAAATAGTTTACCTTACAGCCAAAGACACATGTGCTCACATCATCATCATACAGTGTGAGTGTCCGTATATGACGACGACACGGGAGCTTTCTCTACCAAACGAAAGGGCAGCGCTGTTTCCTTTTGTTATAATTACGCCCTGTGTTTTATTTTTCTCTCTCCCCTGAACAGTCCCCCCACCACCCCTCTCTCTTTCACAGGGATGCCGATGAAATTTTAATGAGGCCAGGGACTGTCGGAGCTCCGCCTGGGGACCTGAGAGTAGAATATTTTAACTGTACATTTACGCCAAGTGTCTGCCTTCAAAGACGAGAATGCTCTCGAATTAGACGAGCCATAAAGTGAGAGAGCGCGACACACACTCACAAGCGTAGAAGAAGCCTTTATTTATCATCTGTTGGGCTCTCTCTCGGTTTCTGCACCGTCTAAAAAACACTGTGCAACACCCCCGTCTGATCAGGTGATGATGGCTGCTGCTGCTGCTGCTGCTCGGATGTTAAGCGGCAATCGCCATTTGATATTGTCGCCAATCAGTTGTTGTTGATGCAATATTAATCAGCCATCAATAGTCATTAGTTTGTTAAGTGTTTTTCAGAAGGTAATCGATGGGGTAGCAGTGGATGGCTAGGAGGATTTCGGTGGGATACTTTTTTGATCCAGGATGGCATGTAAAGGAGTGGAAGCAACACTGGATCTGCCAATGAAATAGCTCCATCTCTCTCTCTCTCCCTCTCTCTCTCTCCCTCTATAATCGCACGCGCATACACGTACCAGCCACGCGCACAATCATAAACAGACGAGTTGATGCCAAAGGAAGGTTTATGTTATGTTATTAGTATTTTTTAAAATATATTATCTGCAGGTTTCAAGAATGAAATACACGCTTTATATGTTTTATATACTAAAGTTTTATTCAAAAACATGGACACTTCACACATTGGCTGGGGGACTTAAAAGAAAAAACTAAATTAGATAAAAATTTAACTAATCTTAAGGTTAAATAAAAGGGAGAAAAAAAGAGTTTTAGAGACAGGCCTTTATTTTACAACGGAATAACAGTGAGTGTCACTAGAAACGGAGGGTACTTGCAGATATAAAGAAGGCAGTCATGCCATAATTAAAATGTAACATGACGGATATTTTCAATACAATAACATTTTAAAAGAAAAAGAAACCATGTCTTATTTTTTTAATTAAATATTTACTGTTCAAAAAAAGTGCAGAAAAAAAAACAATAAAATAATTTAAAAAATTAAAAAAAGGACCATCCCCTCCTCCCCAAAAATCTCCAAATAAATTTTCAAATCACAGTCTCTCTTTATATAGAGTTATTAGAGGTGTTCCCAGCCTTTATTACTCAAATAGCTCAGGGGCGTGATTTAAGGGTGGGTGCTGAGGGGCCGCAGTCACCCCTGACATGTGGCTAAAACCTAAATAATGATTTCTGATGTGTAACCAAAATTCAGTCTTTTTTTTCCTTGTGTAATGTCTTTTTTCTCCATTTCTCTTTTATCTTTATTTCTATATTTTCTTTCATTTCTATCAGATTTTGGTTTTGTTGATATTCAGTTTTCATCTGTATGGTTGATTTCACATGAATTTGTGGATTTTATTTTTCAACATGAATCTATATGAATATTCAAATGCTTTTGCTTGAGGGGGAAACCGTCTGCACTCTGCTCGACTCTTACAGTTCCTTCCATATGCTGAGCATCTCAAAAAGAGGGAGTGTGCTTTCAGTATTTTTAGTAATTTTGATATTAGTATGGTTTATGAATCTCCGTTATAGTAAAACATTTAAAGTTACAGTACACAGAAACCACCCAAGAGCAGAGGAGAACCCACTTCGCTGCAAACAAAATTATTCTTGCAATACTTTCAATTGCAGCTAGGGGAGCAGAATCAAAACAGAAGGACCTCATTTCTCTATTTCATTAACGGCAAGAAGAAGAAACATCTTTTAAAAATAAATTAAAAATAAAGATTTAAGTCTAGACGTCTCCCATGAATGATCGTGAAGGTCAGTTAAATTCATGAGAGTGACAAACATCTTTGCACGCTTCAATTTCCACTTTTTCCTAAACATTTTTCTCTTCCATGGTTAACGGTTCAGATTCAGAAACGCTAAAATAATCCTGATTGGAAAATGCAAACTGAAAATTCTACCAGAATAAAAGGGAAGATTAACCCTCCTGTTAATTTTGTTATGTTAGCAAGCTGTGTGTCAAATTCTGTAAAAGATAGTTATCACTTTTTAAAATGAATCTTTCTGGATTTAATTCAAATGGGAGTGTCCTTTTTACAAAGCTTTCACAAATGTCATCACCTAAACTCAATATTAAATGTGAAAGCAAACAGTGTATAGAAGTTGCATCAGGTCAATGCATCAGTAATGCTCCTTAAGACTAGACCGGGACCTTTGACATCAGATTGGCAGATCTTAAACTGTAGATTCCCCTTTAACATGTGAGTACACAAGCTATTAACTTAATGTGTTCATCATTTAATTCAGCGTCTTCAGTTCTATATTATGACCTAATGTGCAAATTGATGGCATCAAAGTGCCTTCAGCCATCAAATATTTAACAACGGGGGGTGGATGTGCACTTTTATATACAGCCAGGTCTCCCTTTTCACCTGATCTTCTCTTTTTTTTTTTTTTTTTTTTTGCAAACGCTGAGATTTAAACTCGCTCGTTCTCGGAGGCTGTTTTGGTGTTCCGAATGAATAAACTGTAGACCTGGTAGAGATTGGACCTTAATGAGAAGGTGGTAGAGCTGTCTGCTGGATGTGTGTTCATTGGGCTTTGACAGCCGGGCTCTGTTGCAGATCTATTAATCATACCCACAAGGAGTGCAAGTCTCTCTCTCCCTCTCTCTCACGTACTCCCCCAGTTTTCAGTTTATACAGAACAGAATCATTTACATAAAGTCCTTAAGGCAAATAACTGTTGGGGGCTCTAATTTATATCTGATCGAAAATTAGCCGTCATTATGTGCGCCATTAGCTGCGTCTTTAATGTGCTTCTAAGCACCATTTGTCAAGCAGCTTGTTAATATCCTTCAAGTCTTTAAAGTTGAGAGCTCATTAAAGACTGCTAGGCCTGCTCTTGATGCCATTTCATAAAATTCGGTGAGAGGAGACAGAGCATTTAAAAGTTTTTGTCCATTAACACGGATCAAAATATTAAGAGACAATGTGTAATGGACCGTGTGTGCATCCTTCTTGAATTTTTCAAACCTGACATTAAACATACAATTTTGATGAGGAAAATATATTAAATGCTACAAAAACTATCAAACAATTTAATTCTTGTTAAACGTTTGTTTACAATTCGATTGTGCAAATAAAAGCAGCTATTTAGATGTTTATTTTCAGGAATTTTCTTCTGACCAAAGCAGACCTTGGAGGGAAAAACAATTGTTTTGAAATGCATGCATCTGATAGGAAATTGGACCCCTGCATGTACACCCTGAAAAAGCCCATATAGTTGCTTTACCCACAGCCCATAACAGGAGACCCTCACAGGCCTAATCTTTTCCTATGGGTAATGGGAGTTATGCTGCTTTATTATTGGTTAAAACTCCAGTGTCCTTAGTCTTTTTTCCCCTCCTGCAGTATAACAGATTCCTCCAGGCTAAAGCAATAAAGAGAGTAATTAGAATGCTAAAGACAGATGTAAATAAAGGGAATGAGACAGTGGTGAGGGATGAGGCGTCGAGGTCACACACTCTCATCAAAAACCCAGTTGGTAGCAAATGACACAACGTTCAGTGCCAGAGGCCTGGGGCTACGACTGCAAACCAGAGGACATAATGGACTAAATTATGGCCTCAATGGCTATGCATTGCAAAGCACCAATAAGGACACACACATGCACACTTGCACACACACATACGCACACATGCACAATACCAAACCTTAAACACAGATCTACTGTATGGTCAGGTTACATTTATCCAAAGAGTTATGTAATGTGCATTCATTATACAGCAAACCATACCAAAACAACACACCATTACCAAGCAGTGTAATTCAGTCGCCACACACCCACATAGAAGCACAGTCAAAAGGCTGCCTCAGTAATACCCACTTCTGTGAGATAATGGAGTTGAATTCTCAAAGTTTGTACTCTACAAAATTCAAACACTTATTTTTGGTGATTTTCCTTTACTTTACAGTAAAGCACCTCGTTCCTTGTTGCTAATAATTTCATGTGCAAGACTTGTTTTATTCATTAGTGTAAGTTTTAATCAAATTAGGAGGATAAACATGTGTAAAACATTATTTGTATTTAATTATCAGCACAGATATATTTCAGAGTGTGTGGAAGCAGACCCTGGCAAACATCAACACTAACCACTGTACACTTGAGATTACAGGCATAAAGAGGGGGCTGGGCTGATTATAATATTTGCGTTATTAAAAATACATTATCTACTAGAATGCTATCATATTGAACAACATAAAGCATAAGAATCACATGCGCAGAGTTGAAACAAACTTGTTTGTTCGAGGTTTTACTGGGATTTAGCAGAGCAGCATAACCTAACCTAATTAGTCAATTTTAAGACCAATTTACCAACACAATAATATTTTGTCATGTCCAGCAGTGGGGACTTGGAAAAATGATCATGAGACACAGGGAAAGGTAGGCAGGTGTTCACTTCACATTACAAACTTCAACTTCTAAAAGAAGTTCAAGTGATTAGTGTAACTACGAAGAGTTTATAAGTAGAGAAACTGAGCCTACAGAGGACAAAACTCACATCCACTCACTATCCCAATAAACTGTTTCACACACTTTGGATTGGGCCTTGTTAATGAGCCTCTCTATAAGTTTCCTCAGTTACACACACACACACACACACACACACACACACACACACACACACACACACACACACACACACACACACACACACACACACACACACACACACACACAGTGTTTTATGTCTGTTCATATCTCTTTTATGTCCCTCAGTTTGTGAGAACCACAAATCACTACAGCGCTCCACATTATGCAAAGAAGCACATGGATGTAGTGTAGTGTAGAGAGGGATATCAATGTTATAGATTTACAGCAGATGGTTGTGATTGCTACTTATTCTTCTACCTTGACAACTTTTTATTCCTCTGTCTTATATGGCGTTGGTTGTGACTGAGCTCATAGGCTTATATACCGTAGCAGCAGAACTTGTGAAATGCATGTTGTAAACAACAGAGGGTAAAATGGATACAAATATTCATGACATATCACAACTAACCAATTAACTACTATGTTGATATGACATTACATAGGAGGGTTTCAATAGGGACTTTAATTCCCAAGACAATTCTGGATCAAATTTATTAGAAATTAAAAATATATCTTTTAATCTGCTAAGACTGCAAACGTCCTTCTCATTGACTTTGTTTACCCAGAGATGTTGATTGATTTATGCCACATTTTGGGCTCTCATAGAGTTGAGCAATGACACTTCCAGCTTATATCACTAGTATGATGCTGAAAAGAATAGAAAAATGTGCACATGTAGTAAGGCCTGTACTAAATGGACGCATAATAAATGAAGAAAGAGCAGTAAAAAAAAGTCTGAATAATTACTTCATTTGTATAGCACAGTCTACAGAAATCACACTGTATTTCACTCACTCAGGTCTTAGGAAAAACCTCCTATCTTTTTCAGTGTCACATTTATGACTTGGCCATATCATTTGTGTGTACTAAAACTTTAATTGCAGGATTTCTGACAGCACTTGAAGGCAGAATGTAATGGCCTTTTTGCTAGTACTGATTGTAAGCTGTCAATCATGCTGGAAATGAGCCATCACACACACTTCAGACAGATGTTTGAAAGGAGGCACAGACCATGTTCAGACATGTATTTAGCACAGACAGAGATTCTTACGATTTCATGTGTATTTTAATTTTGAATAAACTTTTACATGAAGATAACGTATAATAACCCATATTGTTCAAAATGACAACTTAAATATTTTTTTAACTTGACCAATAAAGTTTGCAGGTATTATATCATCCTGAGATGAAAAGCATTTTATTACTAATGACAAAAGTTACATCTTGCCATGCAAATACTTTATTAGAAGTAATGTCTCTGCATGTGAAGTTGGTGCCATCCATTATATGAGATTACACTGAGTGTTGAAATGTGTGCTTCTGAGGTGCCTTTGCAAAAGGTTGATTACGTTGGATATATTTCACCTGCCGCTCTGGGCTATTATTGCTTGAGATACCGACTATAGTAAGAACCCTGATGGAGCGATCCTAAATGGTCAACGTCGCTGGTAAAACCATATAAAGTGATTCAATGCGAACATAAAGAAATGTTAATGATCGTCAAAGACCTTTGTGTTGGATGGCTTTCCTTCCAGTTACTCTCTCTTTCTCGCTCTCTGCTGTCCTTTTTATTTCTTCATTTCTTTCTTTGAGCCATGAACGAAGGAACATGTGCAGATTATGCTTTCTTTCACAAAAACCATTGGAGGAAAATAATACCTTGGTATTGACTAAAAGAATAAAATCCCAACCCTAAAATACATCCCTGTGGCTGAAAGCCCTCAAAATATCTTCTGTAAGCATGCTACTTTAAACTGCTATAATGTTGACAGTGTGCTGTGCCTGCTGTGGGGATGCCTGTGTATCTCAGTGGCTGTGCTGTGAAATGTGGCACTCAGACATAGTTTCTGACCTCTATATAGCAGTGTGAAAGGACCTCAACAGCTGTAAACAACACTGCAATCAGTGTCCCATCTGCTCCCATGTCCCACTTGTGTGGATGCCTTTTTGCCATTTCTTTCACCCTCTGCCAAGTGGCTGCCTCAGGACATCTAACCCAGAGAAAAGAGCTCATTTACCCAAGAAGGAAAGAAGCAAACTAGATTTCTGAGCGGCTTTGCGGACAGGGAAACTTGGTGGCGGCAAAATTTCACCAGGTTAAGCCAACTGTACTATGCAAATTAAGCCATTAAAAAAATACAAGAGTTAATCAAAATGCACCAAACATAATTTTTAGGGGGATAAAAAAAACAGAGTGTCGTTTGAAATTATTTGCTCAACCAGCTTACAAGCTTTGAAAGCAGCCCTTAAGTGTTGATTTAACCTCCATTCACCCCTGTTCAGGATAATGATGCTTCAAAGGGATTACATGAAGAGAGTGCTTGAGCTTGACCCACTCCAAAGGTAAGTGGTGTGACTCCCATTTCGTATGAAGCCTACTCAGTGGATCTGTATATGCACCCTGACACCTATAATTTCCTTGTAAGGCCAGATGTTCGGCGAATCTGGGGGACGCTGAAACAAGTAGAGGTAGCTGGTTAGCCGCGTGGACTTGGGTGACTTAATGTTTGGAGCAAAACAAAGTACTTTCCCCGGTTCATCCAATGTGAAAGGTTCGTTTGAATCATCTCCCCAGCTTAGTTTTTGTTTAGAAACATTCCTTAGAAAATCTTCAGCATCTTCTGGTTCATAGTAATGTCAGGGGTGTAAAGATTGTCAAAATAAATAAGTAAAGAATTCCTTTGCATTACCAGTATCAGTACCCTTTTTTAAGTTTGGGGAATTTGTTGGGTTCACGCTTAGTTTTTAGATATCTAAATATCTTTCAGGATTAAGACGGCTGGGATAGGAGACAGATGATCTCTTTATTTTCTTGTTTTAGAGGAAGTTGTAATTATTCTTTTGCTCAAAGCAACTTTCACAAGGGTGCTGTTGGTTTCTAGTGATGATGTGAGCGTTTAGCAGACTTTACAGACTTCAACAGATTTGCAAGCTATGCAGTTATTTTCATTATTTTAGGCCTGAGATATCACTTATACAGTATGTTCTAAGTTGTAAAAAAGCCACCACTAGCTGGGGTTTTAGCTCTGATAAATAGCTTTTTTTGTTCCATCATGCTATAATGCTCCACTATCTGGATATAATTCAGTACAGATGACAGATGGTGGCTCAGCACAGTTTGGCAGTGTTTTGATCTAGATAATGGAGATAGGCTGCGTCAGGTTAGACTAGCATACAACAACGATATCAGAAAATAATTAACCAGCATGTGGCCATTAACCTGCAGAAGGAAGTAAGGATCGACCAATAATCGGCACGACTGATTATATCGGCCGATACTCAGCATTTTACAATAATCGCCATCAGACGTTTTTTTCACTGATAGCCAATAAAATAGGTTTATTTTAAAACGCACTCATTCGGCTCTTAAACAGCCGCCTCGCTCTGCCTGATGTTACCACTCTTGGCTGTGTAGCAGTGTCCTGTCAATAGTCCCCACTGATTGGCTACACAGACAGCCAATCAACTCTCAAGCTTCTAGGTTCAGCTCCACAGCAAGGGAGAGAGAGAGAGAGGAGCATGCATCTTATGATACAACGGTTGAAGGTCTTGTTATCACAGATTTTCACAGTGTACAAAATAAACAAACAGTGTACTGAGTTCAGACTAATTCCATGTGTCTTACAATTATCAGTTTCCGTGATGAATAATTGGTATCAGTATCGGCCCTAAAAGAAAAAAAAAACATATTGGTCGATCCTTAGAAGAAAGGATGAGAGGTTTGTGGTGCTAGCTCTGCTAATGGTAGCCACACTTGCCAACTAATTGACATTTTGTTTACTTGCAGACTGTAATCCCTTGATTAGCTTTGTTGAATCAACTTTGATCAATCTGGACTACGTACTGGATTTTATCTTAAAACTAGAAAAAAGTTGGAATTAAATTTCTGTCATGAGGACCAGAATACTAGTGACTAGAATATCCCTAGTTTCTGGATAACCTATATCTGTTCAGACAAAATGATGAAATAAGAAACTAGGTGTTAATTGGCCATCTTGCTTTTGATTGATAAATTTAAAGTATCAGATGTATTACACATCAGACAGATAGGTTGAATAGATGCATAACTAGATTTTATCCACGGCTTTTAAGTGAAATCATTCTGATTGAAGTACTGACTAAACTCTTCGGATAGGTAATTAATCAAATGAAATAAACATTGTCAAACCCATTCTTGGTTAAACAGCTGAGGTGATGCAGTCATAACACACTGTGTGGTTTCTGTAGTTAATATTCATTATCATGAAGATGATCAAGAATACATGCTGCCCTTGTCTGCTCCAACCAGAGGGGTCACTGTGCCTCAATCAGTCCAGGTGTCTCTGTGCTTTAAATAAATGCCTTTTGTATCTATAATGAAAGTGTAACATCTTCACAAGGGTGGGCCGAGGCAAACTTTGTATTCTGTATGCATAATCCATGTATAAATATGCCTCACACAAGAGCCCTGTGTGTTATGTGATTTGAGTGGGGGTCAGAGCCACTTGTATTCCTGTGGGTGGGATTGTGGAATTGCAGGAGATTTGATTGGAGCACTATCCCTACATGAGGGCCCTCCAGAACTCCTATCTGTTGTTCCCCCTACTCATTTACTTTATCAGTGCACTGCTGTAATATACATAATTCAGACAACCAGGGAATGTCTTTGGGCTCCGAACCACCTGCTGGCTTTTATTAGCTAATTAATGGTGATTTATCAGAGCTGCTAATTTGAGTGGGGCCGCTTGCCTTCAGGAGTCTCAGAGCACCGCATGAATTCTGATGGTAATTATGCTTATTTGATGGGCAGTTTGCTAAAACAAAAAGTTCTGTCTTTTCTGCCCCACAGGGATGGAATTTCTGTTCTTACCAAAGACGACCTTGTGTGATTTTTTTTTCCCCTGTCTCATTAAGGTCTCTCACGCAGTTCATTTTAATACTTAAATTCAAAACAGCTTTTTTACCTTTTTACCTGTAGATGTGTGTCCTTGGGAAGGTCTTTTATGATGTCCTCATGTTTCAAGTATATTTACTGTTCAAGGACCAGATATTTACCTATGGTTTGAGACTTGGTATTTGGGGAGCCTTCGAGGAGAATACTAATATTAATACCCCAAATTTCCTTCTGCCTATGTGATTTAAATATACAAATATATTTATGGTACAAGACCAGTTTTTACATTTACACATTTCTGCCTGTTATAAATAAGAATCTCTGAATGTTAATAGTATAAGAACTGTCTTAAGGGGTTTAGACTCGTAAAAAATAAGAGGCTTTGCTTATTAAAATGTAGCAAATGTGGACTTTGCGAGGGGTTTTCTGAAGCTGACACTTCTATCTCTTCTTGTAGGTAACAGGTGAGTGACAGTGAGCAAAGAATAACTGAGAAGGTAAGGAAACATTAACAAAGATTCTGTTGGTCTGGTAATGGAGCGGTCAAGCTGGTAATTGTCAAACCCATGTGATCCGCCTTTGCATGCACAGGAGACAAACAAGCGTTTTCTTTTACTTTTTCCTCTATTTTCTCCTGAGTTTTGTTTTCAGAGTCATCATAAATGACTGGAGAGGACGCTTTCGAGGTAAGTTATTTCATCCATCTATCAACAGTTGCATAAACTCTTACTACCGTGCAGTATGGAATATACTTAACCCGGTGTGGGTCACATCTAAGATCTTCTGGGTTTTGGTTTTGTACATTTTTATGATGCCATCTAAACAGACTTAGTTGCACAGTTTGTGCTTTAAAGTACAGTGTGTACAAACAGAAATATTAAGCAATAACCAGTGATCAGATTTTGTGCTCATGCTGGACTTTCACCAGTTCTGTGTTTTGTCCATCGCCACTCTAATATAGCTCTGTGCCCCCTCATCCATCTACAAGTAACGGCTGTGTTTTCACAGTGCAGCACCGCTGGATAGCTCAAGTCACTAGACCACAGATTTTCTAACATTACATACATTATTAATGGTTTTCTCCCTTCACAACGAGGTATGAAAACCTCTGACCTGTTGACTCCAGGCCTGAATCTACTCACTGTGATGGTTTGAAGTATGTGAGTTAAATTTACATGACTAAAGTACAACTGTAAAAATTGTGTAAAAACGCAGATTTCAGAGCTCGCACAAACAGAAAACATGTCGGTTCACCTGTACACTATACCTACATCTAAAAATTATAAAAATAAAACAAATATAAAAATCTTTTTTTATATGACTGTACCTGTAACAGCTACAGCCATATTTATCACAATGTAATTAAGCACAGTAGGGTCTAGGGCTTCCATTACTCTGTAACTTCTCCATAAGCTTCTGTCAACTGAGGGCTTCCATAAGTCTACTGCATCCTGCTAGCTTGTTGCATGTAGGACTGCATTCTCCAATGGTCAATAAAACGGGCAGTACTTGTCACATGGAAAGTCCCTACATGGCAGGTAAGTGAATCTCTCCTTGTAGATTTGAGTCTCATTCTCCACCTTTCCACTAATCTCGGCATAACCAGCTAAAAGGTTTTTTTTTTTTTTTTTCTGGTTTTAAAAGTGATTAGCCCATCTCTTTGCCTCTTTTTACTGCTGTCTAACATCTCATTGTGTTCTATGTGGCTGTCAACTTCTTTATTCTCATCCATGCCATTACAGCCACAGCATGAAATGGTGAAGTAGAGACATAGTGGTTAAAAAGGCAGGGAAATCCAGCTAAAAAAAACCCAGATATTTTGCCCTGGTCTATCAATAATTGCATGATTCAAGTGAAGTATGATGGGTTCATCCTCTGGCAACCAGAAAAATGTTTGTAAAACTTAATGGCATTCAATCAAATGGCTGAAACAACTGTAGTGTTGTTCCAGTGCAAAACAATGGTCAAACCAGAGATCCATAGAGTTGCTGAAAAGCACATCAAATACAGAAATTGGTTGGATCAAGAGTTGGGTTTTTACTTGGCTTATTATTCAATCAAAAAAATACACACTGACTTTTCTAATGTAAGTCTGTCATAAGCTAATTTTTGGAAAGCTTCATTTCACTTTCTATAGTTCAAAACATTTGACAAGCCCTGTCACATGAGCAAAGATCCAGCATAGTATCAGATAGCCGATTGATGTTTTCTGCCCTCTGCATGCATATCCTTGGGGAAATGCTGTAGACTCGCTCTTTTCCAAAGCAGGTTAAATCCCAAAAGGCACATGGAAATATACAAGAATGAAACACCATGTCAAGTCATTTGGCATGTCAGATATTAGAATGTGAAAGGAGGGGGGGGTTGGAAAACTGGTGTTAAGATGTGTTTGCCAGCAAGTGTAATCTTTTTATCCCAATTCAAATACAATTCAAAACAGCAGGTAAACGGAAATATCACACAAGCAAGCAACCATGCCTCAAGCAACACGCTCCATTAAAGGAGTTTGCCACGCAAGGTGCTGCAGCTCTCACTACAAAAAAAAATGAAGTGTTTACTCAGTGGGATTTGAACAAGAAATCTGAAAACACACTTTAATGTTGAGATCTCCCAACAACCTCTGAGCAGATGTTTTCACTCAGAACATGTAGAAGTCTCCCTTTAATGTGTCTGTCATGGAATCAAGAGCATCATTTGTTCATTTGTGGGTGGCATCCCATCAGAGCATTATTACAAACTGACAGCCAAACTAAACAGAAGAATAAACAAAGGTGGCTCTTCGGCATAAAGAAGACATAACTCCTTCATGATCAATGAAAATGCCAGTCAAGATCTCTACAACGAAGCTGAAGTATGTCACTGCAATCAATGTACTGACCCGGGGGAGGTCACGGTGTGTATGTGTGAGTCTTTGTGTGCCTTTTCTGTTTGTGTGTATGCAATGGACCTCTGGTAGAGACGGGTCACCTCACTCCCTCTGGGGACAGAACCTTGGGTATAAAAATACACTACTCACTGGGACCTCTGCAAGAAGAGAAGGACCAGTCCTTTTCTCATAAGAACACACACACCACGTACACACACTCAAAACTCAGGCTAGATTTGATGGGGGGGATGGAAATAAGCGCCTCTGTGCCCATGAATGCTATCATTTCATTCCTCTACTCTGAATGCTCCAGGGATCTCTGAGAAGGAGTAGGAGCAATAAGTTCACTTTGCTGAATTAATGCCGTAATTCTTTATCAGGAGAGCCTTGGCATTACCTTGAACCGGGCTGGTTTTATGCAAAATGGTTCCAAGCCTCGTTTTTTTTAAATGATGGTCCTAATTTGTTGGCTCACTTTAAATTATTAATCTCTTTTATATGCAAGTACTTATTACGTGTCATAAGTATGTATCTATGGGGTGAGATGTAATAGCATCTGCTGGACCTTAGGAAAAGAGCCACCGCTGAAAAGCTATTAAATATTGATAATCAGCCAAATATTTGCCCTGGCACCTGCTTTGAGCCACTGTGCTGATTGGCATGGGAGCAGCTATAGTGGTCACTAAAGACACACAATGAGATGTTAACACAGGCTCTCACTGGCAGAGGTGAACAAATCAATTAGACCAGAAAGATGTGACTGTAACATTTAGAAGACGGTTCATGTGAACACTGTCTCAATATGACACCGGTTCAAAAACATCAGGGCTTGACAGTGCAACTGTTTCACTCACATTTGCAACTAAAAATAGATGCGTGCGAATTGTAAAATGTATTCTGCGGCACATGTGCGCATATAAAAATCAGCCGAGGAAACAAATGTTTCTTCATGTAAATACCGCGGTGAAGTTAGTTTTAGGTTGGATATCCGACAGACATTAACATGTGGATCTACCGGTATCTTCTCACCCTCCATGTCATTATTTGATCAATTTTCATTGTGCCCCTCAAGTTTTTTGTGTGCTTCTAACTTGCTCCTGGTCAAAAAAAGTTATTGTCAAGCCCTGAATATATACAAATGATTTAAATTCTTTTTCCAGGTGTATGTCAAGTGAAAACAGCTGAGCCTCCCTGCTTTTTGCCTACTAAAATTGTGTTTAACTTGCAACCCAGAGTACTGAAATCCTCCAGTCCCAAAAAAAAAATCATAATTTGGTACAAAGTAAAAAGACTAAACATAGAGTCACAGTGTCTGCAGGCACCAGTTTGCAGGATGTGGTTTTAGCAGAGGTACCACCACCTGCCTTCGGTTCTCTTTGCAGGTTGTCCAAATGCATTCGCTAGTTGCTAGAGTTGAGTATCTCTTGCGTGAGGCCGAAACAATTTACCCTGACTACAATATGGTGCATAAAAGATAAATGTGCCACTTACAATGTGATGCAATGCAATATGAGTCGCAACCGCATCATGATGCAGCGCAACTGCAATGTGATCTAACGATGTAAAGGAAGTATGATAGGCAATTCAACAAGTTAGATTTTTCATTAATCAAATAAAATTGAGACTTTTCACAAACTGGCCTTTTTGTCACAAGTTCTCTGTGAGTGTTCTCTCTACTTTGTCACACCTGGCTAACAAAATTCAGGATGCTCAAGATGACAAACATCCATTACTTGTGATATAAAAATCCATATGCTTAGCACTTTTTCCACAGGAGTTAGGCTCAGTGTGAGTAAAAACAGATATCTGGATATCTCTACAAATAAAGACAGACATACCATCAGTTATGTTGTAAATAAACAAATCGGTTCATCTTCCCATCCCAAATGGTTTAGCTTGTGGTTGAACACCCCTTTACAAATATAACCTTGTTTGCGATCAATGCTTATTTACATACAGATAGTAGATCAATGTAACAACCGGAAGTTTGTTTAAAAAAAAAAAATAATGATTTGCTTTGCCTAGACTATCCCAGTAGTTCATTGAGAACTTTGTGAAAGGATCATACTTTAGTATGAGAGGCAGTTCAGGATAATAAAAAAACTGAGTAAACCAACTACTTGAATGTTTTTCAGACGAACTTATGATTTGATATTTAGTATTAAATTCATTTGTCATGTTCGCACTGTTGTTTTATGGTCAAATAAAAAGTGACAGAATTCCTCAACAATATTCCATAAAGTGAAAAACTACTGTTATGTTTATAGTTGTGTCACAAACCAGGAACATGCCAAAGGAAGCAAGTCAGCCCATGTAAATGTCACAAAAAGGGACCTCTACACAAGAGAAGAATGCCAGAGTCAGCGCTACATATCCATCTATCCATCCGTCAGTCCATCAGACATACCACTGAACCATCTGCCAGCCTCCCCCATCCTGGGCTGAACCCCCACAGCCACCAGCCAGGAGGAGGCTCTCTCTCGGGGCCTGATGTGCTAATGTGAACCTTTGTGGTGCTGAGCCAAGTGAATAGCTAGGTGGTTGAACTGTATCTTCGGCTTAGCTACGCTTCGCACAAAGAGAAAGTGAAAATAAATTGCTCAGCTTGTAATGAGGTGATGTAAATGATCTGTTCAGTGGAATTTTTGGAAAATTGTTGTTTTTGAACTCTTTATTTGAAACTTAACCCCGTGACAGAGCCCTGCATGGTGTCCTCTGCAAAATTCAATTAGACATAATGCTGCACTGCCATCTATTCATTTGAGGCACCCAGTGAGGCAGCCAGTGGGAGTGTATTGATTGGAGTGTGTCATGTGTGGAAGCGAGAGAGGGGTGGCCGTGCTTTTTTGCTTAATGGACTGAAATAAAAGAGGCGGGAATGGGCTTTAATTAGAGAACAGTGGCAGGGGCATCAAGCTTCCCCTCCCAGTAGTTACCCTGCATCCCTCTCAGCTAAACACACTCATCCATCCATGCATTTCAACGTGTGGATGCTCACAAGCACACAACCTATGCATTTACATGTATAACAATAAACATACAGTGTCTCACCCATGCACACACTCAAACACACATGCACAATGAGACACTCAGTAGGAGGGCAGGGGAGAATAGAGGGGGGTTATGGAGGGGTGGATAAAAAAAGAAAAAAGTGCTGGGCTCCCTGGGTCTCAGCTGCTGCTAGGGTGCTGCCTGCTCCTCGCAATGAGTTGCAACTGTCAGTTTATTTTATCTCGGGCTTTTCATCATCGCGCAGAGCCCGGTTGGAGGAAGCCACCTGAGAGTCTTAGGAATTTGTTGGCTACAAGTCATTAGCAAAGACTGCTGAGATGTGCCGGGGCCTGAGATGTGCCGAGGCCAAGGATGTGCGCGGGGTACTGCTGCAGACAAGTGTGTCCCTTTAACCCATGATAGGCTGATTGGCACGGCAGCTCGGCTTTGATGGGGGGATAATTACATGCAGCCTGGATGATGCCGGGCAGGTCATAGATGCTTAGCGATGCAGGTAAGGAAACAAGGGAGTGATGTGAATGAAGGCATGTGGAGAACATTAAAAAGGGAAAGCAAGCTTTGTCTTTCCCTCCCACTTTGATTTTGTTAAAGAGTAGATTTGCTGCAGACTGCAGATAAATCCCTTTCAGAAAGTGGATCAGGTTCACTCGACTGCACACCCACAGTGAGACAGACAGATAAACAGGTAAGTAGTTAAGTAGGTTACTTAAATTGTTGCAGAGGTTAAACTGGAATAAGGAACTCAACTCTTTTAACCGATTTCTCAGTGTAATGTGACGAATTTTGATCCAACACTTTTAAATTACATATTTAAGACACATAAAGTTGAAGAGCTCCCGTTTGGCTCAGTTGGTAGGACAGGCTGTAGTCCATGCCCTTAGCTGCATGATCAATTCCCAGTCCAGACACGACTTGTTGCATGTCACTCCTCTCTCACTCTACCCACATTTCCCGTCTCTGCACTGTCTTGTTAGAATAAAGGTAGGGCTCCCTTAATGTTTTATTTTCTACAATTAAAAAAAGATTCATTGTCAGCCATCTTACTGTGGTTTGCTTGTCATAGACACACAGACACATTGCCCCGAGTGATGGGCAGTGAATTGATTGGCAGACAAGAGGTGATTAAAAAAAAGCTGTGAGCTATTCAAAAACATGAGCACATGCTGTCCAGTAAAAAGGCTGTCCAAAAGTAGAGACGGCTCTTTTAACGTTATCATAACTGAAACGTTTCATTGAAACTTTCCTGGTGACCTTGCTGATCCATGGATTTTGAGGGGGGCAACTTAGTTCAGGCATGTGTACTTTTCTTCTTCTTTGAATTACAAACAGACCACTTTTCAACAACCTCACTGAGGCCCCAGATCAACAGGAATACAATGTCAGACATATTTTCAAGTTCAAGTTAAGATACTGTAAAATTGTCCTTTGATAATCCATAGCAAAAGCTGCAATAGATGGGCAGTATGGAGCAACACTAATACATTATAAGTAGGGGTGTCCCGTTACGATCAATATCGAATCATATCGGCCTGCATCTAAAATCTCCGATATCAGCACTCCGATACAAGCAGTCCTGTCTAGTCTCTATCTAGCAGTGCCGTGATCCAGCAAGCTGAGCCCACAAAATCACAACAACAGTGTGTACTAAAGTACTAACAAAGTAGCAAGGAGTCAGAGTAATGTTGGCCTTGTGGCAGTACTTCTTGTTTAGGTCCAAAAAAAGACATTGCAGCTGAGTGAAAAACTTGTCATGCACAATTTTGTGCCACCAATATCGGTATCGGTCAATATTGAAGGCAAAAAAGTCAAAAGTCAAAAAAGATGTATCAGGACACCCCTAGATCTGAGACCGCAAAAATTCCAGGAAGATGGTCAGATCAGCGAACATGTCATTTTCACTTCACCTACATGCCAGCTGGCTGCAGGTACAGTGCAATGTTTGGACACATCTGTTTACGTGACCCGCTGTGGGCCAAGCTATCGGCAGCCTGTTGTTCTCTGTATAATCTTTGAGATTCCACCACAGATTTGAATTTACTTACAAAGGCTACCAGCTCATCTGTGATGCAACAATGCCTTGGTCAAAGGGAGCAAAGTCTCTGTAGCTGCTTTTATGCTGACATGAAAGAGTACAAGTCCAAGTGGGAACACAGTATTAAATATGGATTCTGTTTGGGTCCCACTTCAGTTGCCTTTCTCGCCCCCACGAAACCCCCAACCAGTGTCAGAGTCTCTATGTATAAATCCATGTAAGTGGATGTTTTTGTAATGTCAAGGCTCCAGAGTGGAGGGAAGCTTACCTTGGGAAAAAACTGTGATTACCCAACAAACACAAACAGTGGTTGTAACCTTGACCACACAGAATGATTCTTTGGAATGAATGAAGGGTGAGGAGGAGTAAAAATTCCAGTGGGTGTCTCACTGTGTATCTAACCTTGTGAAAACACAGAGACGTGAGTTTGATAGAGTTATTACACATCCGTGCTTCTACTATTTGTGTGGCTGAATTTATTATCATGACAGAGACAGGGCTAAGCTGGGATTCTGTCGAGACGTTTCATCACCTCTCTGTCAGAGGTCAGGCAATTTCGGCAGCCACTGTTTGCTTTTCATTACTAAAATACAAACTTTAAGGATGTCTTTTTGTTTTTCTCAACAGAACTGTGTTGACTCAAGCAATGATTAGAGTGTTATTATTTCTTCTGTGCCTCTGAAAATGTAATTTTAGAAGCCGAGAGATGGTATTTTGGCTCGGTGAGGCGCCTTTTGTTCCAACAACGTGCAGCCAGTTTACTGTGATAATAAGCATTCAGGAAAATAATTAGCCAAGCACATGTTGTGTAGATTAAGTACAAGGCGTCTTTGTCTACTCTCCGGAGTCTTTTTTTCTCTTAATGTACAGTAGTTCAAAGAAAAAAGGCTGTGCTTTACACTGTATGTTGGAGACGGCTCATCATTTCCACATCATCCAAAAACCGGTGGATTTTATCATCAAACAAGTCAACTTGTTGTTGACATTGTAAGCTCTGAGTGCTGCTGCAAACAAATTCAGCTAACATATTTATCTTTCCCTACATGAGGAGCATGTCATCACTTTCAAGGTGTGTCATATCCATAAGGGAGGAGAAATAAGGCGCTGGTTATCACTGCAAGATCTCCCCTGACAACTGTCCAATTATGTATATCACACTCCTCCTACTGTTTGCACTAGAAGTAATCAATAGAGGATGTGGCTGAGTGAGCACACATTTTGGTGGAACCAAATGCATGAAAACGTAATCATTCGCTCGCGCTGGTGAGGAATCAAATATCGGTAGGGGACAAGTAGGCAGTGGTTCTTCATGAGGGGAGGGACTGATTAGTGACTGTAGCTCCAAGTTTGATGGGGTGTGGTGGCGGGTCGGAGGGGGTTCTCTCCTGACGCGGCAAATGGAATGGGTGACAGGTGGATACGGGGATGAAAAAGGCGGTCCTCCGTTTCATGAATAAATGTAAACACAGCTCCATGCAATTACAGCGGCTGGTCATCTCTTTTTAGGTTTGGGGTGGGAATCGGGGGTTGAAGGGGGGGGTAAACGTGCAGCTCCATCCCTGCAGGTCCAATCTAATGAAAACGCGCAGGTTACTGGGGCGTTTAATTGTATATACGGTAAAGCTAAGAGTGAAGACTGTAGGGGCTTGTTGCGGATGAAAGCCTAACCCTACAAGTGGAAAATTTGATTCAGTTTAAACATAGCGTTTCGTTTATTGATCGGCCGTGGAAGGTGAGATCATCACAGGAACACGACCTGAGCAGATGGATTCATTTGAACATGTCATGAGAACACATGGGTCTTGTTGCTCCGGAGAATAACTTGTTACAGGGATGGCAGCCCAAATGAAATTTTTAATGCTGATGATCAGAAAATTCTGTAGCGTCACATTTTTGTAGGAAGTCCACATTCTCTGATTCTGTATTTTGTCCCATCAGATATGTTCAACATGATGATTTATTCAGCGCAATAAAAAATATATAAAAGTTGTATTACATCTCAAATAGTCTGTATTGACTTGAGACTTACATATGACTCAAACCAAATGTGTCTTTTCAACAATAAGAGGAGAAAGTTACTAAATAATTTGAACATATTCTGAGCAATCACACAGACGAGTGTTAATCATTCATCCTGTTTTGAATAAATCTTATGTAATCATCTGCATGCATATGCATAACTATGTGGTATTAACACTTATCCACCACAGAAGAGGCGGGTCAAAGCATACCACAGTTATATCTTTTCTATTACCCAGGTTAATCAATAATTCATGGGTCACAATAGCAGGCAGTGCGAGCTGGGGGGAGGAGAGGGACACCCTGAGATCCTCTCCCTTAGCAGGATCCCCTCAAAAACAGGAAGAGGAATGCAGAGCCTGAAACAAC